TTGTATAATCCTAATTTTTAAATAAATCAACCACCTCCAAGTGTGCCATAGCATCAAGGCTATTACTATCATCCAACTCATTGATATATCATCTTTTTTATCATAAAATTTGCCTCAACATCATCATTTTAAAAAGTGAAATTTGATTTCACATTAGTTAAATTTCTTTTGATGGAGGCTTGATGAAGCCTAGCTAGATGCTCAGGGGTACGATAGGTACATGACTAATACCCTTTCATACCACACCGATAGCACTTATTTTTAATAACTTTTGAAGGACCGCTCTTATCTCTTTTTTGCCCTTCATTATTTTTCTTCTTTTAGGGGGTATTAGGATTATAATTCATACCACCACCACTATGATAACGATAATTAGCAAGTACCCTGCCATGACCATGTCCATGGCCACGACCACAACCATAGTAATTACCACATATAGTCACATTTGCTTTAGGGAATGGAGCTAATCTAATAGGGAAGATTTCATGATTTTTATCAGCAACTCATTATTTTGTTCAATCATAAGAAGACATAAAATTAACTTAGAATTTTTTAAAATCCTTTTCATTATATTATTGCTATAGGAGCACATTTGAAGCATGAAGAGTTGAAAATATTTTTTTTAATAAGTCCTCATCATTTATTTTCTCACCACATAATTTCAATTGAGAATTTATTTTAAAAACTGTTAAATTATATTCACTTACAGTTTTAGAATCTTGCAACATTAAACGCATCCATTTATATCGAATTTTAGGTAAAATTACTATTTTCTAGTGGTCATACATTTCTTTTAGATTATTACACAATTCTAGTGGATCTTTTACCATTAGATACTTAGCTTTTACCCCTTTATGAAGAATATGATGAAGAAATATCATTGCCTTAGCCTTATCTTGACTATTTGTTTCATTTTCAAGTAAAATTGAATTTCCTAGACCTTTGTCGTCTAGGTAAATTTCAATATTTAACATTCATGAAAGATAATTCTTTCCTATAATATCAAGAGCCATAAATTCAAGTTTGGTAAGATTTTCTATGATTCAAACTAAAATAATAATAACAATTAAAATTATGAAAAAATTAATGAATAAAGCATAATAAATAAATATTATAGTTAAAAAAAAAAACACACACACACACACACTATAAAACGATAAATAACCATAAATAGAATAGGGTTAATGAGAAAATAAAATATTGAACTCTTACTTGAAAATTATTTTGAATCTTGAACTCTTAAAATATACAACATAAATTTTAAATTTTTAAATTCATAGCAAAATAAATCCTAACTGTTAACTTTTTAATATCGTTATTGTTCACACGGGTACTATAACAGTCAGGATTAAATTCATAAGAAAATAAACCCTGAACAGTACCTGTGTGGACAATAACGATATTAAAAAATTAATGATTAGGGTTTATTTTATTATAAATTTAAAAATTTTGGATTTATTTTGTATATTTTAAGAGTTTTGAGTTTAGGATGATTTTTAAGTAATAGTTTAAAGTTCTATTTGTTCATTAACCCAATAGATTGTAGAATATAATTCATAATAAAGCACAATATAAAGAAACATAAATATGAACAATCAATCTTACTAAACAAATAAAACATAATAAAGATAAAAAAGGGAAATAAAGCAAACAATTCACATGATATTAACGAATAAAACAAAATATATTAACAACATAAATTGTTTAATACAAACATATATAAACAAACACGACATGTATAATGTGTATGTAGAGTATTAATTTAATAGAGGACTAAAATAATAATAAAAATAATAAAGAAATAAAGAAATAATAAAGCAATGAACAACAACAACAATATAATATCAAATACATAAATATGAAGAAAGAAAAGCACATATATCAATCTTTATACAAATATATAACAACAAATAATAAAAATAAAGCAATAAGTAGTTAATAAGACTTGATTAAATTAAATCACTAATCACATGATTATTTTCAAATAAATAAAATGAAGAAATGTAAAATTACTTTGTGACTAAGAAAAGGAAAGGATAAAAAATAAAACAATAAATATATAAACAATATTACCAACAATAATATAAAATATAATTATATATATATAAATATAATATAATATAATATAAGAATACATTAATCTAGCTAAAATCTCATACCTAATTTTCAAAGCTAATTCATGTTAATAATGTGTTGTAAAATATATTAAATATGAAGAGCAAAGAAGAACAAGACAATACAAGAAATAGACAAAAATAATGGAGGAAAATATTTATCCACTAGTGTCATTATGCTTTGAACATGACCTTTATTTATAGATCTCCAATCATTTAAGCCCTATTCTAATGTTACAAAAATTTAAACAGGTATATAATGGTGTATTATGTAACTTTTAAAAGCTATAAGCTATTAACAATAAGAAACTTCTTTCATGCTATTCATTAAACATTAAGGATAAAAGAATTATAAAAGCTATGAGTTATAGACATTCATAACATAATATTTATAATATTTTTTATTTTTCATGTATTTTCTTGATTCGCTGTATTCAATATCAATCAATTCTTATCAACTATCATTTATAAACATTATCTATAAAAAGAAAAAAAGGAAATAAAAAAGTTTAAGTTTGCTTTGAATCATCCATGCTTATCTCATGATATTGGCCCTTCAAAATATGAATGTTTCACCATACATTTTGCACTAACATGATAACATGACGACTACTTAAGTATTTTAATTAGGCAAAACTTGAGTGGTAGTTGTATCTTTTTGGTAGCCCTCTTGTTTTGCACATAAAAAAAAGAAGAAGAATAGAAACAAAAAACATAAAAGAATAGAATACAATTAAAAAAAAGAGGGGTCCCTTTAGATTCTTTCTTATATCCATATTTATAAAAATATAATTTATATCATAATTCATAAATTAGTGTTTAATTACTTTATGTAATTGAAAATGAAGAGTTATTGAGAATTCTATAGAAGTTTTTTTTTGGCCAATATTTTCTAAGCACTTTAAAAATATGTATTTTTAGACAGATTTTCATTATAGGCTTGATAAATAAAGATAAGATGTATACAAATAAAGCATCTAAAAAAATGATTGGATAGAGAAACTCTTATAAATTTAGCCATCTCAAATATGTCAACAATATCAAATATATTTGTTTCAAATTCCTTAATTTTAACTCGACAATGTAAGGAAAATTGTCTAGTTTCTAACAATAACATGTACTCTCTCTTCCACTATCTAGTCCTACATTAAAATGACCATTCTAATATTATTCTTAATTATTTAACAAGGATAAATTTTAATCTAATAATTTTAATGTGCTTGGATTAAGATTAGGTGAAATTATTTATATAATGAATTTTGGATATAGTAGTTATATTTTATGGTATAATTAGTTTATAAAATTGATTATAATTTTAAATATAATTAAAATTAAAAAAATTATGAATAAGTCCCATATAGTGTAGTTATTTATAAATAAGTTCTGTAAATTTAAAAACTACAATCAATTCCTGGGATTTAAATAAAAAATTTGACTTGTAAATAAATTTGCTTGTTAAGCAAATTGGCAAATTTATTTACCCTAACAAATTAAACGCAATTTTTTTTTAATCATTTATATAAATTCTATTTATAGAACTCTTAATTTTTTAAAATTTTGAATAAATTAATAAACTATATCATAAAAATATATTCAAATATCTCTAATATAAATAATTTGTCCATAAAATCCTTCATTGTATTAAGAAAAGAGATGGGAAACCAGGTTAGGCTAGCTCTTATGAGCCCTAAAGCTTGATTCCTTACTTTTTGACCTAATCTTGAGGCCTTGCCTCATTCAAAGGGCTTAGGGCCGGGCCGTTAAGCCCACTTTTGAAAAAAAAATAAAAAATTAATATCATATTTTAATAGAATATTTTAAAATTTAATATAAAATAAATTAAGGTTTCACATCAAACAAAAATTTAAAAGTTAAATTTAAGATGAAGATTAATCTTCATCAATCTAAATCTAAATCTTTCTCATCATCATCTAAAAATAGAGTATGATTCCTCGAATGTAGGTATACTTATTGAGGATGGAGATAGAAGTTCAATGTCCATTATTTCTACAACTTTCTTTCATCACCTACAATAAATATTAATCAAATCATGTTATTAGCAAATATATATATATATATATATATATCAAAAGACAAAATATAAAAATTATCATAAATGGCATAAAACCATTTAACTACGGGTATATATCAATGCTTACACATTATCTGGAGAGAGGCGAGAATGATACTTTGTTAGAACATGAGAGCCTATGCTAAAAGTCGATTACTAGCTATTGTAGTGATTGAAGTTACTTAGAATATGATTTGCCATACTTGAAAATTGGGAATCATTGTTGATTAATTTTTTACCAATACAACACATGTAATTTTGAAATCGATGACCATCAAGGGAAGTTTCTTCCAAATAATAATCTAATTCATATTTCCTAATGAAAAAAAAATTCCTACTCTTGAAGGAAAAATCTTACATTTTAGAACAAAAATCCCTAACCTAATCATACGTGAGTTTTTTATTTTTTTTTATTTTAAGAAATTGTAACAAGGCTTGAAGGGTTCCTTGAATTTGAGTCTAGGCATTTTTTTTAGAGTTTATCAGAGTCAAACCTAAAAATTTGATTATGTTAAAAATTACTTATTTTTTAAATTTAAATTTTTATTTAAGTAGGTTCTTTAGACCCGAGCTTTATGCCTACTCTAAACAAAAAGAGGGATGGCTGAGTAGTGAGTACGTGAGTTGAGATGAAACGCTGCCGTTTTCGTTGTCGGTTCCCTTACCATGTCTGACATTTATTTTCTTTCCGTTCACATGAAAAACTTATATTCTTTAAATCCTATCAACGACCTCTATTGTGCCACGTCAGATGGAAGTCAATTTAATCAATATGTGGTGTCCCACAAGATGCATAGCTAGTCACCCTTGCCTCCCCCTTTCCGGTGCGGTGACCCCAACAAATCTGAAGAAGAAATTAGAAAATCTCCCTCTCTGTCCCCCTCCGTATCTCAGTGACGCGCTTTCATTCCTGATCGGACATTGTCCTCTCTGCTAATCTGAGTCCTTCTGACGGTGATATGCAGCAAGCACAGAAATAGAAAACGGATGATTTCATCCCGGAATTGAATTTGAAATCTTTCTCTGATCTTTACCTTTGTTTTCATTTCATTTTCCCTAATCCAAGAAATGAAGGATGATGACACGCTTCCTACAACTACTGCTAATGCGAAGAAGGAAAACGCGGATTCAGGTCTGTTCGGCAGGGGGAAGTATAAATTCTGGGCGTTAGCTGCCATTTTGCTCCTTGCATTTTGGTCCATGTTCACCGGTACAGTCTCTCTTCGGTGGTCAGGTAGTCTCAATAGCTTATCTAATGACCTTGATACTCCAATCTATGACGACCTCGACGTCCTCGTAAGTTTTCTTCGATGATGGGTTTTTGCATAGGTGCTTATCTCCATATAATAGGCAAATTTTATTTCACGTGGATTTAATTGCGAATCGTTTTGGAAACAGGAAATGGAGGAGAGGGAGAAGGTGGTGAAGCACATGTGGGACGTGTACACCAATAGTCGGATCAGGTTGTCGCGGTTCTGGCAGGAGGCATTCGAGGCTGCGTACGAAGAGCTGACAAGTGATGTGCCCGAAGTAAGAGACGCTGCCATCACGGAGATTGCTAAGATGTCTGTGCGCTCAATTATTTTCGACCCACCTCCCGTACAGTCCTCGGTGGGTCATTCTTACTCTTCAGTTAGATCTCTTTTGTAAATTCCTATCTTAGTTTCTTCTTGCCGGGGTTGCTTCTTTTATCTATAATTTCCCCTTATTGTATGGTCAGTGCTGGTGGGCGAATTTAGGCTGTTGAATTTTCCCACGTGAAGGGGACGATATGTATATCTTGGCTCGTTATAATGGGTTCCCAAACCATTTCCTACCGCCTCACGCCCCAAACCCCAATTTCCAAATCCTCCCAATTAACTTGTGAATAGTGACTAGTTTTATCTTGAAAGTTGAATGTATTCTTTGAGTCAACTAATTCATCAGCTTTAAAAGCCTAGAGTAGATAAATTTGGAAATTGGAACTGGAGTATGACTTACAAGATAGAAATACTGTTGTGGTAATATTCGTAGTTTGTTTGCTTAATTTGGGGATATCAGATGCAGTTTGAAGTATTTAGAAATTATGAAAACAGATCCTGATCCATTTTATCAACTAGGTTGACTACAGCTTGCAATAATGTTGATAGTGACGCCCACAGGAGCAAGCTAGAAATTAGAATTTTATGAATTGCTTGTTTTGATCTGATGATGTGAAGTTGTGTCAATGTAATTGCTTATTTTGACTGGTTGTCGTGAAATTGTGTCATTGAATTTTGATTGGTGGATATGAAATTGTGTAATTGAAATTGTTGTTGTTAAACAGTCTAGTCAGATTATCACATCAAACTTAAGGCCCGACACCCAATTTTTTTTTTCTTGTCAAAGTTTATTGTCCGTGGACATCTGCACTCTAGTTGACATTAATTTATGTACTTGCAGCTTATCGATCATGTTTAATTGTGTGATGAGCTGATGATTTTTGCTGTTTGCTTCCTTAGCTGCTAAAATTTCAGTTATCTTGTGTTTAAACCTGGCTTCTGTATATTTTCTAATGTATTTTTCTTTTCTGCTTCTTATAAATTTCCTTGAAGAGTGTTGTTCAGGAGTTTATTATTTATATGTCAAATAAAATATTTCTACTGTTGAATTTTGTTGATTTAAGACTTAGATTTGGTTTAGTATGCATTTCATACTTCTATCTCAGAGCAAGAGTTTGGCTAAGCTTGATTGAGAAATGCAGAAATACTGTGATTCTAAGTGTCCCAGTACTTGCAATTGCAAAGTCCTGGTCATGAACGTGATTAGGGTCTTCAGTACAACATGAATCATATATACCATTTCATAGCATCTACATGAGTGCATGACTTTATTCTTTATCAGCATTTTTGCTAGAGAAGGTCATGTCACATTGTTGGTTGTTGATTTTCCTGCATTCTCTATGTTTGACGGATCAAGATGACAGTCATAGTAAAGTAAGCGTCTTGAAAGATCTTGCACTTTTTGTGACTTGTTTCGGTGGTTTAAACAACCCTAATTCTTATATGAACCTTCTATTAATTATTCTGTTGTAGTACCTCTAGGAGCTAATAATGACTAGGGAGTACTTCCTAAGAATGCTAGTTTTCGTTTTTTGTTTCCTTCAAAATAATCTCCTCATTGTCTCTTTTTCCTATCCACAACTATACTGAAGTTATATATGTACACAAGGTTATTTACCATTTTACATCCTTGGAAGTTAGAATTAGTGAATAGCCTATGATGAACCGAGAAGTCCTTGCAGGGTTCCTTCTTCAATTAGATGCGTTGGGTTCATTGTTGACCCCATTAGCAAAAGTGATTGACTCTTGCTTGTTTTTTTGGTGGGGGAAATGGGTGTTATGTCCTGGATTCTGAACTCCTCATCCATTCAATGAGTGTCTGATAAGATAGAACAGAGGAAAATGACGGTGGTGTTTTTTCCCTCGCTTCCATTGTATGTAATTGAAAGAAGCTAGATCTATATTGGTGGATGTGTGGATTTCTGAATTGGGAAATTTGGTTAAGAACTTGGGATGATACGGAAATATTGTGGCTCAGAGCACCAGAGGACTGCATTTGTAAAGCAAATTGAAGAAAAAGATGTTGGTAGTTTCTGAGATCCCTTTTGTGGCTAATTTATAATGTTGGTCTTTTGTTTTTTCTTTTTTCTTTCCCTTTTAATTTAACAGCCACTGCTTGTAATATTAGCCTTGGGCTATGTGATCATCCTTTTTTCGATTGAGAAAAGATGATCTCATCAATCCAAGCATGGGTCTTTTACAGTCACAGTGGGCTTTTTGACTGCAAGGGACGCATTCTGGATGAAAAATTACCACCCTCTTTCAATGATATATAGAGATTAGATATGGTGAAGGTGAAGAATAATTATTGTTGTAAGGACTATTATTAACACACAATTTCTTTAAAAATTTTAAACAGTTTAAACTTGTAAAGTTCTTCAATAATATATAGAGATTAGATATGGTGAAGGTGAAGAATAATTATTGTTGTAAGTACTTCTATTAACATTGGGGAAAAAAATTTCTTTAAAAATTTTAAACAGTTAAAACTTCTAAAGTTCTTCATACAGTTAAATTTCTTTGGTTCACACATCTATAATTTTTCTTTACCTTTAATGTATCTTAACTTTATATTAAAAAGAGGCCATAAAGATCATTCCCCACCTAACATTGCACTAGAAGGTGAATGATGATTGAGTTTTTTACTCATTGCTTTTGTATTATGTTCTTTGTACTGTATCTTTCTGACTTGTTAATGACTTTCAGTATTGATTCAAAGTGTGTCAGCTAGTTTCAAATTCAAGCATGATCATTTTTTTTCATGTAATGATTGACAACTTAACGTCTTCTGATGATCTTGTTAGATGCACTTGATAATGAACATGCTAACTCCTGGTCCGTAATATTTCAGAGAGCAAGGGAATTTAGTAAGAGCCTCATTCAAGTTGAAAATGGAAAAGCAGCAGTGACCTCTAAGCGTGCTTGAGAAGTGAGGAATTTGTGAAACATCCAAGGGGTCTAATATGTACATGAAAAAATGCTCATCGCTACAACCAGAAGTTTATGAAGAGGTGATGGGCGAAGTATTACTCTGATTTACGTGCTTCCATAAAAGTGAAAAATGTGTATTTTATCAGGATATGGTCGATCCCAGTTTTGCAGTCAATTTCAGAATCATTGCAGTGTGAGGCTAGTAAATTGTAATACGAGATTTTGGGAGACATAGTCAACTTGAAGGATTATTATTTTTATCTCATTTCATAAAGATCCTTGTAATAGCAGGTCTGTTCTAAATTTCCTTGGTATCATGCGGCACTGAAGTGGCCTGGATGGTGGTTTTGTTGAAGGAGACCTGGTTATTAGATAGCTTCTAGGCTTTTATTCAAGTAAAAATTGTTGGGATTTTGTTTTAAATATGTTCAAAGCTGATTAAAAAAAAAAAAAATCCCATCGATCAATCACCAATTGCAACTGTTTTAGTTTCATGAGAAGAAGGGATCATCCTCTAGTGGCTGTTAGCAGTTAGCACATCACCAAGATATTCTTAAGAATAATGATGACTTTTTTTTAAAAAAAAAATAGATCGACGCATAACTTATAAGAAACATGCAATGTATGCAGATCTCTAGTGGGGTCAAGTTCATTAAATCTTTCTTGCTGAAAAGTTGTGGTATTTGGCCAAAATAATAATAATAATAATAATAAAACAAAAGTTAGTTGTTCCAAAAAAAAATGAGGCATATTAAATTGAAATGTTCACATTTGATGCCAACAATAATAATAACAAGTCTTGTCCGATTACATAGAGTTGACTATGTAAATTGCACAATGTTATTGTGCTTTATCATTTATCAAACTTTTAAGTACATTATTAATTAAGAGGTTTCGATCAACAATGTTTATAATTGTTCTCTTTAGTTTTTTTCTATCCTTCTTAACAAGTTTCAAAATTATTCATTTTATTCTTCCCTTCGGTGTATCCCACGATCTTCTCTGTACATATCCAAACAATTTCAAATAATTTTCTATCAATTTTTCCTTAAGAGATGCCACGCCCACTTTTTCTTGTATATACTCATTATAGATTTTATCTTTATGTGTATGTTTGCAAATCCATATTAACATTCTCATCTCTACTACTCCAACTTTATACCCCTACTGTCCTTTTGAAGCCTAACATTCACTACCATATAACATAGCTAATCTTATAGTAATTCAATAAAACTTTCTTTTAAGTTTATTAGGTACATTTAGATAACAAAAAACTTCTTTAACCTTTCTTCAATTAAACCACCTACCTTGTATCTTATGTGCAACATCTCCATCAATTTTTTCATCATGTCAAATAATAACTCCCAAATATTAAAACTTTTTAACTTAAGGTATAATCAAATCTTTCAATTTCACTTCCAAATTACCTTTACATGTGTAAATCTTTAACTTTGCATCAATACTTTTTCATTAATCCCTTATTAGATAAATTACTTCTTACTTAATCACAATTAACTCCACAAATTCAAGGTAATCATGAGCTAAACCAATTAGATTACCAAATTATAGTTTGAAGAAATGGGATCCCAAGGTTTACAAAATTCATAATACTTAAATAATGTTTAAGAACTCTCAAATTAGAGTAAATTTTGATTTGAAAGTAAGAGATATCTTATGGGAGTAAAAAGACTCAAAATTAGTTGAAAAATATCAAGTCATGAAAAACAGGGGGTGCGCCGCAATATGTGTACATGCACTACAGCTTACCCATACTTTGCCATGCACTGTTGCACATTTCCAGGCAATAACTTTGCTGTCCTTTGAGAGCAACCTGAGGTTGCTTTAGATGTTCAAATGAGGAGATCTAACTGTCTATAGAAAATTCTTTTCATAAACTAACTAATGACATGGGTTTTAATTCCAAATTAAGTCACACAAGAAAGTTGAATACCCAAATGTATTTTTGCAATTTTTCTCATTTTTCACAATTCAAGGGTATCCAAAACTCTACACAAGTGTCAAAAGCTATTCATAACACCCAATAAACTCAATGGACTTAAGACTATCTGTACAATATATTGCATGCACATGCATTCAATTATACTAACTTTTAACTCCTCAACCTTTTTAATACCAAAAACAGAAGGGAGAGGTTAAAGCATTACATTAGACCAATAATCATCATAGTTATAATCAAATTAATATTCTATACTTGCATTAGTATTTTGAGCCCCGGAATGTGAATTATAAGAATTCCACAAATTCCTAAGCCTCCAGAGTCCTTTCCTTTTTTGTATCAGAGTTAAAGCTTATAAAATATTGAAAGAGAGAAGTAAGTTTAGCTACTCAATAATCAAAGTACACCTAACCTATGCAATTGTATATCAATTGTTTTAAATACATAAAAGGAATTATTCACTTAAAATATACAATTTTCAAGTGATACAAGTTGTCATTTCTCAATTTAACTCATTTTCATATTTTTCATTTTGAATCACAAAGTGAATTGCCACAATACACACAACATGTGACAATAGCACATTTACTATCACGACTTATCATAAACTTATCAACCATGTGACATGTCGGATTAACACATATTTGCATGATTAACACCTTATATCCTCCTTATTTTATCCAACTAAAATTGTGGACAGTAATATCAATCAGGGTTCCATCCATATAATTGGACTATCCAAACTCATCAATTGTAAGGTATGACTCGTCTAAAGATCACATAACTCACTCTCGAACCATGAATTTTCCTATTCTCAAATCTCTAGGGTGTCATATATGTCGCACCCGAAAAAATGCGAAGCGGACGGCGCGTGAGCGGAGGTCCTGACCTTTGCGGCAGGAACCACATGAACAAGAAGTCGCTACCGAGATTTTGAGGTAAATCTCGAAAAACCAATTAAAAGGAGAATAAGGGTGGTCTGCGAAATCAAAGAATAAGTGTGGGAGTCGGTTGAGTGTAGGGAAGGTGTTAGGCACCCCACAACACCCATTCGTCAGAATAGTTACCTAAAGTTTGTTGTGCTCTATTAATATAGTTTTAAAATTATTTTAATTATCCCTTTTATATTCATGTGTTTGATATAAAAATGATGATAATTGAGTAAGAAATATTTATTTATTTACAAGGGAGGACGGACTTGACTCAGAATCTGACTCTGAGGCCTACGTATCCTGTGATGGGGATCAAAATCCACGTAGTTCGGGTTTAAAAGTTTGTTGGTGAAAATATTTTTTTAAATAGAAATTAATTAGAAATAATTCACTATTTTGCAAATAAAATAATTTTTGAAATTTTGATATGTGTGTTTTAAATTGCAAAAGGTAATTTAATTTTAATTATTTTCTCTATTTTTAAATTTTTGGAATAAAGAAAGAAAATGGTTTAAAATTATTATTTTTTTATGTTTTATGAATGAAAATTTTAACCGCTATACCTGTAGAGCCTTATTGGTTCATACGGTAATGCAATTATTCTAAGTATCTGTGAAGATTTTGAAATCTCACACGATAAAAGAATTTAGCAATTTAGTTTATTTATTTTTAAGTGTTAATAATAGTTTGCTTAAGTATGTATATATGTTTTTAAAGAATTTTAATCATCATACCCATATAGCCTTATTAGCTTATACGGTAATATGACTTATCCTAAATATCTGCGGGGATTCTAAAATGTCACACGATAAAGGAGTTAAATTTAATTAATTGATTTAATTAATTATATAATATATATATATATATATGTATATATATATTTTAAAAACTAAATCGTTATATCTTATTGACTCATATGATAACACGATGATCTTAGAAGCCTACAGAGATGCAAAAATCTCACATAACTAAAAGATATAATCGGTAAATATGGTTACAATTTAAATATATTAATTTGGTTAATTAAGTTTCTTAAATTATATATTATATGATTATTTACAAAAATTATTTATTTATTATAAAAATTGATAATCACTATATTTGTGAGGACTTATTATCCCACATGATAAGGTGATTAATTTAAGTCTCTACGAAGATCCTTGAAATCTCACATGGGACTTAAAATATTTATTATAAAGAAAGAATTAATTTTAATATTGAGCTTTTGAAACTCATATAAATACCTACAAAATTGATCTTCATACCTGTAAAATCTTATTGATTTACACGGTATGAAATCATTCTAAATGCCTACGGAGATTTTTAAAATCTCACACGATAAATAGATAATCAAAATATTTGTATTTGTAATCAGTACATAATATTATGGTTGGTTAAATAATTTATGCAATAAAGGTAATAGAAAGAATAAATTAATTTGATAATTCACTATTCTTTCAACTTGAGGATATATTTTTTAAAAAAATCAGATTTGGCATAAACTTTTAGCAAGATTATAACCACAATAGATACAGCTTCAAACCACAATCAACCTCACAAATTATCAATATTTTCACAAGCTCTCTCTCTCTGTTTTTTTTTATCAAACACCTCTCATGTGTGTTCTAAATTCTAGGGAGATGACATGATTTAAATATTACTTGATCTAATGTAGCAGCCTATAATTCCAGTATGGCCCCCCATCGTTGCTCCCATGGTTAGCACCAAATGTTTTTGCTTTCTCTAGCTTTCCATCCTCTGACTAATGAAGCTAGGAATTAACTTGTATATTCCACTCAAGTGGTATTACAACAACACTCCTTGCAAACTCAACACCTACTATGTCTACATTTTTAGCCTGATCCCAACGTGGCTTTGGAGGAGAGGATTCTGTCCAACCACTGAAGCCAAAGCCAAAAATAATAACTGAAACCTCTGAGATTGACCAAATGAAATAATATTTCCATTGCATACAAATATAGACCATACAAAAGCTAGCTTGTAGAAGCATTCGAATAGCATATGGTAGTGGTCTTTTTGTTGATGTGCTCCAAAGCCCTTTTCCTTTAGCCCAGTCTAGATAATCCTTCTTTCAAAAACTGGACCAGTCAAATGACTCTAAGGCAGTAATCAAAAATTCAAAAGACGACCTAGCTTATACTTGCCGTAAAGCCACGATGAATGACCAGAAAATTTTTTTTTGTTTTCTCAACTTCGGCCTTGTACTTCTCAACTTCCTGAACCACCTTCTCTATTTCTTTTCTCCTTTTCTGTCCCCTGCTTTGCGTCTGTCATGTTCTGTTTCTCTTCTCCTCTTTCCCTTCAGGAATTCTCTTCTTTTTTCAGTCTCTCCTCTCTTTTTTTCGTTTCTCTTTCTTCTTTTCTTCGTTTCGGATCAGTGTTCCTTCTTCCTCGGTGCTCTGTTTTTTTCTCTCTATCTTGAATCTCTCTGTGTTTCATGCTGTG